TTAGTGCGGCTGCTAGGGTTAGCTAGGACAGCGTATACCGGACTAGTATACAGTATGTATAGAATAATAACATTAATTATATGTATATAACATACATATGTATATATCTATATTCATATTTATATTTATATATTTATATATTAGACGTAATCCTAGAGATTCGTGTCGATTCGTTCCAAGTAGTCGGGGCTAGGCTACCATTTTCTCTAAGGCGTAGGTCGCGACACGTGCTTGAAACGATAGTTCACGAGATTCCACGGAATTTACGATTGGGCAGTATCAATTGGGCAGTGGTTGAGAACTGTGCGTTGTAGGATCCGCGAAAGAGCTCCATTTTTTCCGTGAAAGAGCTTTTCCTCCTCGAAAGAGCGATTATCTACTTCTCCTTAAAAGAATGATCTCTCCAATGTCTCTACGCTTATACAATTGACAAAACGAAAAGGTCATCATCTCGCGGACCCTACAGCGTCGAGTCACCAACGAAACGTGGCAAGATTTTCTGTCAGATATGAAAAAAAGGAAAACTAGTAACAAAATCGCGCGTCGCGCGTAGGAGTTTCATAGGCTGATCCTTGATACCTTCGTCACACGTGTCCGGACCCATCGGTTCTTCTGAACTACTTCCTCGCTGAACAAATAGAGACAAATAGCATCGGCAGTTGAGCAATAGGTATCTCGTTAATCCACCTAAATTCTGTTGCACCTCGCCGCGACCCCGGAACCGATACTTTTTCCTGAAGGATCGTTCCTCAAGGTCGTCGACTCTTCGACTTCGCGCTCAGAGTTCGTCGAGTCTGAATTTCACCTCGCTTCCTCCTTCTTCCAGTTTTCTTTCCCTCGTTTCTCGTCGACGATCCCGTCCCGTTTCTCGACGGGCACTCGAATTGTTCCGCGCGCGCGTTACTTAACTGCTGTGACTGTACGCGGTGTTCGTGTACGGACCGCTGTAAATGGACGAGCCTGTCGTCGAGACGCTCTTGTGCCGCCTCTTTGCGAGCAGAACCAAAATGGCGGCGACCACCGCGAGCATCAGGATCAGACCCGCGATCGCGATCCCGATGGCGAAGCTCCTTTGCGAGATGCAGATGCTGTTTGGGTCGTCGATTGTCTGGAAATTAGTCGTACGTTTAGGTCAGTTACAGACATTGCGAACACAGTTGCTTATTATAGATACATATCAGATGGAAATCGGTATTAGTCCGAAGGTCCATCGAGAATCGCGATAGAAGATTAGAGTATAATTCAATTAACCAGTTAACAGCGTTCGACGAGTATACACGTCATCTTAAAATCAAAATAATACTAATTCTTTCAACGATAAACTATTTACTTTTTCAGATAAACATGTAATTCTTCTTCATTATGCTTTAGTTTTTCGTTAGGATATATTATAGGTGCATTTGACCTGTGTCAGACGAGTGTACATTGCGTTGAAAAGTATTGAACATTTCTAATAGAAAGCTTTCGAGTGCAAAGGGTTAACAGCCATGGTACGAAATCATTGTTGATTAATTCTAATACCATTTGCGTTTGTTATCATTATTTCTTTGCGGATTGCTTTAAACTTCTAACATTCCTTCTCATAAAGAACTGAATAATCCATCAAAGTCTTAAATAGTGAAAGAAAAGAAACCATATGTCAGTCTTCTTTGTTAACACTAGAACTACCGTACCAGTTTTTATTTCTTAATTATTGATATCTTAAAAGCATTGAATATTCGAAATGATCTTGAAAGTAAATAGTTTCACTTGAATACTACAATGAATGTCTGAAGAAATTGATAATAACCAATTACTACAATTTTTATGGGTATTACATGTTAATCGTATCAAATGCTCGGTTGTTCTAGTGTTAAACAATTAAACTATTTATGTGCAGTTTTCAATTTTAGATATCGAAGCTCGAAGTCGCCATTACGACGACATTCGACCACAAAGCGTTACAACCCTTTAGTTATTCGCGGTCAACCTGTTGATCTTGTCTCAACGTGTAATTTTAACCCTTTGAGTGCTATAGACGTAAATATGCGTTTTACAATATTTTTGATCTGACACGTTTGTTCTTAACATTATTCAATGCGACGAAACTGAGGAATCAGAATTACAACTTAATTATGGCTTGTACGAATTAACCCCTATGATTTATTTCTTAACTACGATAGATATAATTACTTTATCGTTGATCATTTATTAGGAAAATAAACAATTTTGATGTTAATTCTATGTGTAAGTTGACTCCAAAAGTTAACGATTGCTGATAGAAATACAATATTTGGTTTATATAAAAAGAAAATATAAATAACACTTAAATTTGTGAAATTCAGTTTAAGATTTTCGTCACGAGTCTGACACGATATTGTAGGTGAAGGGGTTAACATAGTTCATCGATCTTCAGATGACAGGCCGAGCAAAAGAATATTCCGTCCACGCGAAACGTTTCGGCTGAGAGTATTCAGCGCCCAAAGGGTTAAAAGATCTAGTCTTTCGATTCGATTTGTCATCGCTCACCCTTTCTCTGAAGACGTCATCGCTGTAGTCAGACTTGGAGCCGATGTCCGAGGCTTCGTTCACGTATAGTCCGCTGTAAACCTCGATAGTCGCCGGTGTGCCGCCGTCCAGGCCCTCGACACCCTTCACCGCGTTCTCATTCGCAGTGTCCCTGCGTCGCCTCGACACCGAATTGCATGCCGGTGGCTGCAACAACGGAATGTTGATTGCCTCTTTTGGAGAACGTCCAAAACAACGGCGGAATCTCCGATCGATCTCGCAACGCGCTCTTCCGCGTTTAACCCTTGACCCACGATTTCTTTTACAACTTTGCTCGAGAAAACTGGTTCACGGTAACACCGCATTAGGACAAGAAAAGAATTCAACCCTTATCCCATGTCTACGTTTACTCTAGCGATTGATCATGGGAAAGTGCCATATAATTGGTATTCAAGAAAAGTAAATAAAATCAATTAAAATTCTCCGTTACGACTGTGACACCTCTTCCCGACGAACCGAAAATTTCAACGAATCGCAACATGCATTTCAACGTAATTTTACTTTAACCGATAAACGATTTCCATGAATACCACGTTAACTTCGATCAATACCGAAGAAACTTCCGAATATTTTATTCAAAAGAGACCATAGAAATCTCATAGTATTCGATGATTCAGCGCACCCAAACGTGTTCGTCGAATGATTGTTACGCGATTATCGTTCATAAATATGAAGGAAACCTTGTGTACTTGGTCGTTGCTCGTTGTTTTTATTTCTTTGTTCGGCTCGTTTCTTTTCCGTGAGTGCCGCCGCTAAAAATACACGTGGAAGAGTAGGCTTGTTTATTTGTCCTCTTAGCAATAACAGAAGATTGGATTCCCGTTTCGCCCGATATCGCTAAACGATTATTATGCTATTAAGAGATGATGATCGTGTTGGTAATCCGCGGTGGCATTAAGGGGCAGGATTAAGGGGGATTTGAGCCGCGCGAACCTAACGGGCCGAATGGAATTTCTTATTACCGTGTTGCTGCATCCTCCGTCGTGTTTCACGCACAATCTGACGTTGCACTGGTAGTAGACGCTCGCTGTATAGGGGAATTTGTGCGCCTGGAAGTTCACCTTCGCCTCCGTTTTGTCCTCGTTGTACGTGAACTGTCCCATAATCTCGCCGTCCACCGGGCAACTGAAATAGAAATGGAATTCCCAATGAACTGTACCTCGAATAAACGCGCCTTATCCTCCCGCCGTGGCCACGGAATCGTCTTGTACCGCCGATCGTTTGGCCACGGGATGAACATCAACGGGATGTTTCCCTTTATTTGTAGGGGTAGTTTCTGAAATTCAAAGGAGCTTCCTATGGCTTTCGCGACGCGTTTTGCTTTTCACATGCAGTGCCTTTTAACTCGGTGGACCTTCCTTTTGCTTTTCACGTGCAGTGCCCTTTTAACTCGATGGACCTTCCTTCGCTTGTGAGATACAGGCTTGTTTTTTGAATTAGGCGTGCTTTCGAGCAGGTTTTACATCTGAGACTGGATTTAGAATTGAAAGGACTTCTTGTGAATTACGGGATGTAGGTTTGAAAATGAACAGAGTTTTCGTATTTTTGGGACACAGTTTCGAATTTAAAGCGATGCTTTTCTTTTACTTTCGTGACACAGATGTTACGATGGAAGTTCAAAGACAGGACATCAGAATTGAAACGACTTCTTGTGATTTACAGGATATAGGTTTGAAATTGAATAGAGTTTTCGTATTTCTGGGACCCAGTTTCGAATTTAATGCGATGTTTTTATTTTATTTCTGTACCACAGATGTTAAGTTTGGAATTCACAGGATTTTATCGAGTTTTTGAAACGTCCAATTTCGAAACAGAAAGTCGCGCGGTCGTTGAATCGTAAGTTTTTGGTACCGCGTGGAACGGGTCGAGAGGGAAAGTGTACGCGCGCAACAACCTGTCCGCGTCACATCAGCTGATTTGCTTATGAAAAGAAGTCGCTGAACCGGCCCGCTTTGTACCCTGAATTCCGGCCCTTGAATTATTCATCGAACGCTCTGACGCGGGCAATACGTCCGTACGGATACTGGAATTGTTCACCGAGGACGTTGTTCTGTTTATTATTAGTCGTCTGCATGGCAGGAATACAAAAAAACAGGGAACGAAACGTTTCTGAAACGCAGGAATTTAGGTTCTTGCAACATTTGAAAGAGAAACACGCAACAGAACATAGAAAACAAATAGGCAATACAATGTTCAAGAAGTGAACGAATAATTAGTAGAAAATGATAGAGAAGAAATTCGAGGAAATCAGGAAGGAAAATATTTGTAGAAAACAGGAGGTTAAGCGTTTATGGGAAGGAGACGAGGAAAAGTTGGAGGAAAACATCAAAGGAAGAATACATAAGAGGTAGATAAGAGTGAAAAATATGTTAATAGCAAAAAATGCGAAAGGGATCCGTGGAACGTAGAAGATAAGTGGCTCGCGTGAAACAGGGAGCGAGATATTTGTAGAGAAAATAGGTAACAGGAATCCCGTGAGAACCAAGGAAGCAATAGCTTAGCTTTCTGGAAAAAGATGGAAAGAGAAACTCTACGGTGGAAACGGGCGATAAGTGATTCATGGAAAATAACGTAATATGAAATTACCCTTCATCGTTTATGAGCCTCTGCTCCCCCCATCCCAGGCCGTCGCGCACCAGGCAATCGGAGATCTTCAGTCCGAACATTTCCTGTTTGTCGATGCTAATGACCAAGGTCAGGGGGTCTCCGATCTTCACGTTTTCCGCCACTTGATGCCTCGTTGGATCTCCGCTGAAGATCTTCATCGTGCATCCTGGCATAGGAGCTGTTGCCTGTCGGGAACATTTGTTGCTTGTCTATTAACGATTCTAGATCGCGAGAATCCTAGCTTCCACACGGAAAACTTGTGCAATTCCCGCGTGAACACGAGATTCTTACGATTTTATTTCGCGTAACCTGATGCCTTACGATTTCTTTCTGAACTGTGATTAATTTAACTTTTTTTTATTAATAATTTATTGAAAATGAGGAAAAAATTGTAGGTATTCTATATCAACGTTTGCTTTGAAGTATAATCGTTGATAACAAAGGAATATATAGTTTGCATTGAAACAAATTGAAAAATATTCATGTTCGTTGAATTCTATTTGAAATCTTCACCGTCTGATCGGGTATTATAGAGTGTTAATTAATTTATCGAGCAAATATTTGTATAAGCTCTCAATTTCCTTCAATTCTCATCAACTCTCAAGCATGAAGATTCTTGTGTAACTAATGTTCATCTATTGCTGGTATCTCGATCTTTAATTTCCTCCTTTCGATATGGTTCTTTCAATCTTTTTAATAGCAGATCACAGATTCATCGTACAACTTGATCACGAACGCAGATAGAACGATTGTTTGCCAAGTTGGCGGAATATTCACGCGGCGTTTCCTGGTAACTGCAGGCCGAATTGCATTTTAAATATTTTCTTCATTTCGCAAAACACCTGGCTTGCACGCGATCAAAATGTTTATTGGTTTTGCCGGCTGCGAAAGGTAATTGGCCGCGGTGGAACGTTTCGAAATTGGAAACGGAGGAAATGCATTCTCACCTGCAACGGCAGGGACTGCAGCATGGCCACGTGCGTCTGGTCGTTCGTAACTACTTTGTCTCGCGTCTGGTACCGACATCTCACGTGAAAACCTCTGCCCTGGTTCGTGACCAGCTTCAGGTGTGGCTGCACCACTATCGTGTTGAAGTATTCGATACCACCGTCGTCCTGCAACAGAATTGTAAAACGTTCTTGTCAATCCACTGGTTTGCCTTCAAATTCTACAATAACGTCTCAATACTCTCGATTACCGCAAACTCTCCTAAATTTAGAAGAAAAAACTTCTCTGAATTTCGATATCTTTCCAAACAACTAATCCTTACAAAAGACAAAAAGATTACACAAAATTGAACGATGAAGAACTGTATTAACCCTTTACACTCGGAACTAGACACAGACGATATTTTTTTAAATGAACTCAAAAAAAAATCGCAAGTGAGAAACAAAGCTTTTTTATCCGAATATTTTACACACCGATGCATTATGTACAGTTCAATATTGAATGTCAAATTTTATAGTTTTACTACATGAAATCAAGTGGTGACTGAGAGTCTCTCGAGTGCAAAGGGTTAAAATTGCACACTATTAGAATTCCAAAACGACAAATATATTCTTCATTAAATTTAACGTTCGCTGCCCACCACAAGAAAATTCCACAGGTCATAGATGAAATCCAATAAACCATCGTTCCCCGCCATCGAAGCAGAAAAACTGAGAAGAAAACTACCGGAATCGCAAGCCATAATATCGGTTTCCTAAACGAATACTAAATCACGTCGCAGGCCTGCTAATAACGCGAGTGTCCGTATTTTATCGCGCGATCGTTCTTATCACCCTGGAAAGCGAATTCCCCATGCATTCTCGATCCCGTGGCGAGGATATAAAGTAAATCAAGTCGCATGGTATAACCGATCGTTATCTCGGCTGCCCCGTTTCCTCCCGTCGGACAACGGACCTTATCGTAATTGTTTTCAGTCATTGTTCGTGGACGCGCGTTTCGGTGCGCGAGGCGTCTGTTGCAATCCCCAGACGCGTTTACGAGCGTTTCTGCCGAGGTAATCGCGTCTCAGACGCCGATCACGTTCTCCACGGATCGAGAGAGTCCTCTCCCAGCAACTGTCCTTGCACTCCGCCAGCAAAAACCTTGACCGTTCGTCTTTTCTTTTCACTCGGGAGCCACTCTTTCGAGAGATTCGCCGTCTTCAGCTGCTTCTTTCGTGTCTCCGTTCGTTCCTTCGTTCGTCTCTTACAAGGGAACGAAGCCAACGCGTTGACGCTGATTTTAACCCCTTACCCCATGATTCCTTTTTCAATTCTGTTCGATGCGACTACTTTGTCGTTAGTAATTTATTGGGAAAAGAGGAAAATTGTAGGCATATTCTATGTCTATGATTGCTCTCAAGTATAATAATTGATTACAGAAGAATAATGTTTACTTTGAATTCGAATAAATCGAATAATATTCGTGTTTGTTAAGTGATGTTGAAAATCTTCATCACGGTCAAATCGTACCGTCCATTGCAGCGAACTTGGCACTTTCGCGTCAGTGGTCAGATTCTACGGCGCACGCCTTGCTCAAATGAATTTTCGGTTGTGGTATATGATTCGCTGAGGCGTTCACGCACACTAATAACGCGACAAAGAGTGGGGATAGCCGTTTCCAGACCCGCAATTGGAGCGACTGTCTCCGCCCCTATAACGTCACGAGTGCCAGGTTCGCTACAACGGTACGTGCATCTATAATGAAATATATTAAATATCAAGTCTAGTTATTTGTTAACTTGAGCTATCAACTCGCAAGAATTCATTAAAATCGGCGTTAACATGAATTATCAATTACTTTCATTCGACATCTTCCAAGTAATTCAGAAGCGTCATCAGTGACTGACGTGGCTCTTAACGTGTTAATCACAGCGGCGCAAGAAATGGTAGCGCAAAGTAATAAATATAGATATCAGTAAATAAAAGTATTGAATATCAAATGTAACAAAATATTCATCTAGTTATTACAAAGATTCTATCCTAGATTTTTCTCTTCATTTGTCTCCCTTAGTCTCTCATCTTCAGAAGACAGATGAGTGTCCTCGATATTCTCACTAAGCCAAGCTCAGAGCACCCTCTTCCACAAACCTAATCTCACTCTCTAAGGAACTGTGCCCTCTAGCTGAGCGATAGTCGTTTTTCTTATACAATACGTAACCGCTCGTGGCCATTTAATTTTCCTCCCCGAGTCGATCCTGCTGTACAAGGGCCGTCGGAGCAGCTATCCGGCCGGCCATTGCTATTAATACGAACGATAATTGTCGTTAATGAGGTTAATTCGCAATCAAAAGCTTCCGCGGGCATCGAATATAACCACGGCGCCATGATCATCCTCGGGGGACACGGACGATCCCCGTTTATAGGTGTTTGCTTAGCCAGAGCTATCCTCCGAAGATCGATTATCCCGTTCTATTTCATTTTTCTCTGTTTATTTATTGCTCCCGATAGATCGAGTCCCGCGGGACCTACATTCCCAGCCGCTAATTGCTGGAACATATTTTCTGTATACAAATGACCGTTTAATATTCGAAAAATCGTCGCTGTCGTTCGCTTTCATGCGCGGTTTACGACCGTTGTAAACGCTACCCCTATTTCATCGGAATAATTAGTCGGGTCGGGATTAAATTAGATCGATGCCTCCTTAAAAATGCCAATTAGCGCGCCGTTGTTCGAATACGAGCGTCGGTTTCGTGACCGTCGAGTATCAGCCTCGTCGCTTTTTCTTTTTACCGAGAAACGGGAACGGGTGATTGAGCGTTCGTATATTTAGAATAGTATAGAACAGAGCGTTAAGCTTTTCTTGTTTGCTTGTGTGATTTATTGTCTTGTTTATCATTTGTTCAAATTAACTTTGGAAGTATCTGGAAAATGGCTTTGCTTATCGAACTGTTAGGAAATTATCGTGGAATTTTACCTTCAGTGTTAATTGCTCGCCAGGATGCGTTAGCATCGTTAGCGGATTTTTAGCGCGAGTAACGAGACCGAAGACGCGAGACCTTAGTAACGAGAATCGATAAGAATCTACCGTGGAAAATTAAGCAATTTTCCAATAAATGTTGCACGCATTATCGTTCGATCGTGGATCGGCGCGTACGAGGTTCGTCTGAAGGACGCTTATCAAAATTCCGAATAACGTATCGCGAGAGGATATCATTAAGAGCAGGATAAGAGTACGATAACAGTGAACCAGTTTCGTAAGAATGTCTACGCCGCATTGTTCCGAGGGAACGCGCGAACAAACGAGCCACCGTATTTTCAACGAGTGCCGTCCGTTAAGAAAAAACACTGCGACCTTGCCACGGTCTTCCAAGAAGCTCCAGGCCATCGTGATCGTTGTCATTACCGTCATTAAGATCCTGACGTAACGCGGATTAATTACTCCGTCTCGGTTGTGCATAGTCTTCCTACCTGGTTTATTAAATTGTAAACAAAGAGCGATAAAAACGGTAATCAAGACATCATCATCGTCGCCCGAAAAAAAGGAGGAAGCCTGAAAAAGGTTCTCTTCAATTTCTCGAATCTAATTGGGTGCCATAAGAGATCGGATCGCTTGCGAACTAGGAACGAGTTCCAAGCTGCCGCTTCCTGAACGGGGATTGTGTCCTTTGGGAAATTGGTTTCCGTCGATTTCGGTTCTTTAATGAAGGCGACGCGATGCAGCGTTGAAACGTTTGGTATACGTGAAAATTATCTGTGCTACTTTTTTCTGGAGTCTAAACGAACTAAAAAGTCTTCTCACGTTTTTTCTCGAAGCTTTAAAAGTTGAAGCTTCTCAATCTTCAATATTCCTAATACAAAATCAAATCTATCAACAAGAGCACCACAATTTCCATTGTCATCTACTCGAAACCAAAACTCCAAGTTTCAGCACACCTCAGTTCATCATTACATCTCAACAGCAAGCATTAGCTTCGGTTACGTTTCGAATTCTCATACTCAAGAGACTAAGAAATCTTTTAGAATCCAGAAGAACCAGAATTCTCTTCTCACGTTTCATCTTGAAGCTTCCAGAAACCAAAAGTTTCTCAATCTTCAATATCCGCAATCCAAAAACAAATCTATCAACGAGAGCACCTCAATTCCCATTATCATGTATTCCAAAGAAATCGAAGCTCCAATTTTCAACACACCTCATTATTCTTACACATACCTCCACTCTCTCTCTCTCTCTCTCTGTTTCTTTTTTTCTCTACTTCAAACTCTTTTTCCTCCAACCAACTAAACCAGCAAAAACCAGAAAAGTTCTTGTAAGGTCGCACAGCTTCACGGTTCCGTATCGGTTGGTCGGAGCGGATGCTGCACGATGATTCTCCACGCACACCGTATATATCGAGCAGGCAACGACCTTCGGAATAGATCCCCGCGTCCGACCTCAGCAAGGATACCCGCGATCCGCGGTGCATCGGCCCCCGAGATCGGTGACTTTACGTTTCACACCTAGCAACGTGCGCGCGTTCGCGTTCACGTTCACGCTTGCCGGCCCACCTCTCGCCGTTTACGGCCGGGGACGGGGGCACGCCGCTATTTACAGCCGAGACACCGTGATTTCTCCATGGCCAACGCCGCAAACGCCGCGGACACCCTTAAGGCTAGTCCAGACCGAGGGACAACTGTTTTCGAACAGTCTCCGACTAACCAGCGACTCTATAAAGAGACTTTCAAAACGCTCTGTCGATGAATTCTTTGCCTGTATTTCGTTATCTCCATTCCAAAGGAAAACAATATAGTAGGACTCCCTATAACGCGATTGAAAAATGAATATAACAATGAAATTCTTCATGAGATACAAGCGAAAGAAGATCTGTGGTCAACGCGAGACTCAGGTTCTATGGTAGATGGAACGAAACAAAGGAAGTTGAATTCTTTTAGATTGAGGTAATGAATATGGGCAACATGTCTACGAATTATTTCGAGATTTGCCCTGGATAATTCGAGCGAAGAATAATGGGTTGACACTTTGACCGTTAAGTAAACGCTTGACAAAACTCGTATGTAGTCGAGACAGTTTTGTAATAAGCTGAGAGTAAAAGGTCAAAATTCTTTGTAACGACTGCTTTACCTTTCTTGTGTCTCGTAGATTTAACAGAATTCGCTTCGGTCGGTGCGTCACTAAGTAAATCAATCCC